AATATCAACGACAGACAAATATCTGCAAGCTGACGACATTGTGCATTTAAGCAACAAAAATGGACTACATATTTTTCATCTGAACACTAACAGCCTAAGACACAAACTGGCTGAACTCAGGCAGCTATTCATGAACGGTAAGGCAAGCATATTATGCTTTTCTGAGACCAAATTGGACAATTCCATTACAGATTCAGAGATTGAAATTGAAGATTATCTTGTAGTGAGAAGGGACAGGAATGTGAATGGAGGTGGTGTCTGCATGTACATACATAAAGACACCAATTTCAAAAACCGTACTGACCTGCATCATGAAAATATTGAATCTGTGTGGGTTGAAATTCTTTTTGACAATGCTAAATCTGTAATAGTCGGGACAATCTATAGACCACCGGAACAGAGTGACTTTTATGATACATTAGATGGGTGTTTGGCTGATGTGGGGGATGTAGAGACAATTATTATTGGAGACTGGAACACGGATATGCAACGTAAAGACACGTCCGTCTTCAAGTCCTTCAGTAGGATTTGTGATCTGCACGGCTTCAGCCAGCTAATCACCCAACCCACCCGGGTATGTGAAACAACACAAACTACCATTGATCTCATTCTGACCTCTGACAAGTCCAGGATCTTCAGTAAAGGGGTTATAGCATGCGGGTTAAGTGATCATTATATGATATTCTGTACCCGCAAAAAGCTAAAACAAAGGGCCAGCTGTCACAAAACAGTCATATCTAGAGACCTCAAAAACTACTCTAGCGAGGCCTTTAACATAGAACTGGAGAGCCTGGACTGGTCAGATGAGCTCAGTGGTACACAAGTTGAAGAAACATGGCTTGGTTTAAAAAACAAATTCTCTGCAATACTCAATGATTTGGCCCCCCTAAGAACAACCAGGGTAAAAAATCGCGCTGAGCCGTGGATGCACTCCGGCATACTGACCGCCATGAAAACCAGAGACAAAAAATGCTCTGAGTTTCATAAAAGTCAGTCAATGCTTTCCAAAAGCACGAGCAGTGAACTCCAGGCCCACGTGACTGAACTCAAAATGGAAAGAAACAGACTAAGAAATGACATAAGCTCAATGATCAAAACTGCCAAAAAGAATTTCATCAATGTCAAAACTGAGGAAAACAAAAATAAACCCCGTGAACTTTGGAAATTACTCAATAACCAGCTTGGCTGCAGTAAAAAACTCAAAACGAGATTTTCTAACATAAACATAAAGACAGATAACAGGCTCATCACAGACAAACTGGATGTGGCCAAGTACTTGAACATTTTTTTCACAAACATAGCCACAACTCTTGTAAATAAATTACCCTCCCACTCAGGGCTTTTTGGAGTAGATCACATCATGACCTACTACAAAAACCTAGGGGTACGCAAAGATGATTTCAGTCTAGCAAGGGTAACAACAGCAGAGGTACTCATTAAACTGAGCGCCCTCCAACCTAACAAGGCCACTGGCCACGACAATATCCCCTCCAAATTCCTCAGAGACACAGCAACCGCCATCTCACCAGTCATAGCTCACATAATTAACCTCTCCATAAAACAGGGAAAAGTACCCAAAGACTTCAAAATTGCAAGAGTAACCCCCCTGCACAAAAAGGGCAGCAAATTGGACCCAGGCAACTACCGCCCTGTTTCTATACTTACCTCCATCTCGAAAGTCATGGAAAAAATAGTATATGAACAGGTCGAAAAGTACCTCGCGGAAAAGAAACTAATCTATGAATTTCAATCTGGCTTTAGAACATCCCACTCCACTGACACATGCCTTCTTTATTTGAGCGACCACATCAAACAAGAGGTGGACGAGGGCAAGTACTGCGGCATGGTGATGCTGGACCTACAAAAGGCTTTCGACACTGTCAATCACCCCATTCTGATTGACAAGCTAAAAGCAATTGGTTTTGATAAACTATCGGTGAGCTGGATGCAATCCTACCTGGAGGGGAGAGAACAGATGGTGGAGGTAAACGGTACTCTGTCCCCCCCCCCTCCCAGTGAGCTGTGGTGTTCCACAAGGAAGCATATTAGGTCCGTTACTGTTCCTAATTTATGTAAATGACATGTCATCAGCATGTGACTGCAACTTGTTCCTGTTCGCGGACGACTCAGCCCTGCTGGTCTCTGGCAGTAACAGGTTGCAGGTTGAAAAAACCCTCAGCTCCGAGCTCGGCAGAATCTGCACCTGGCTCGCCGATAATAAATTATCATTACACCTGGGTAAAACAGAGTCCATTCTCTTCGGTTCGAAACATAATCTCAGCAAATCCGACGACTTCTCAGTTGCAGTGGGCGACATTATTGTCACAAGTAAGAAGGAAATTACATACCTAGGATCTATTCTTGAGGCAAACCTCTCCTGTGACAAAATGGCATCCAATGTAATAAAAAAAAAGTCAATCAAAGAACTAGATTCCTATACCGGATCTCCTCTCTGGTAAACAAAAACACCCTGAAAACTCTGGCAGGAGCACTCATTCAAGGGTACTATGACTATGCTTGCACGTCATGGTACCATAGCACCTCCAAGGCGCTAAAAATAAAACTTCAAACATCGCAAAATAAACAGGTCAGACTACTGCTTGACCTTTCATCTAGAACCCACCTCACCTCTGCCCACTTTGACAACCTAGGATGGCTTAGAGTAGACGACAGAGTACAGCTACTTGCAATGGGCCTGGTCTACAAGATCCACTACACCTCTATGGTACCCATGTACATGTCAACATTCTTCCCAAAGGTCAAGGAATACCATGATCATAACACCAGAGGGAGCTCCACAAATCATGTGAAACCCAGATTTGGCACAAAAAAGGGGGAATACACGTTTCGCAATTATGCCACATCAAGGTGGAACGCTCTTCCCACAACTGTAAAGGAAAGTAAAACTATACTTACCTTCAAAACCTCTCTTAAAGAGCACCTTCGGGGAGAGCATTGCAAAACTGGCCCCGGTAATGGTACAAATCTCAACCTGTCGTTCAATGGACAGCCCCCCCCCCCCCCCCCCCCCATTATGTATATACGCGCATTTTAGACTCTGTTACTAACTGTATATCTGTAGACTTGGTATGTCTTAAATGTCCGGTTAGGATGTATTAGAACGAAATCTAAAATGAAAATTGTAAACAAGCAATCTGTATGTAAAAAAACCACCTGTATGTAAATTGTAAATAAGCCATCTGTATATCAAATATGTCTTATATGTCTTAAATGACATGATTAATTGGAAATGGGGGACCCTGATGTAAACAAGACGAAAGTCTTTCTCTGGTCTGCATCCCCTTAACAATTGTATGTTTTGAGCTGTACTGTACTGTACCCAATATACAAGCTGTTAATAAACATTTCAATCAATCAATCAATCAATCAAACAAACAAACAGCTGACACGTAATAACGGTTCCGTGCCAGCTGATCTGTGCGCACCAAAGTTCTAATTTCCTTATTTGTTTCCTCGCGTATCTGTCTCTCTTTCCACACACTCTCACATGCAATGTGTTCTTTTGATGCTGCATGCATTAGCAGTCCTTTATCAGTCTGTAATGCGTGTTTCCAGTCGCAAAAACATTTGACAGTAAAAGCCGCATCAGATGAAGACGTATTTACTTTAAAGTGTCTACAGGGGAAACAAAAGGCTGCGTCTGCTTTTAACAAATCTTCAAGCCGGTCTGTTGTTGTACCATGCAGCAGCAAAAGTGCGCTTCTTTCCTGAAAACAATCTCCCTGGATAACGATCCAGTTTCACCTGCTTGGGTTTATTAACCCCAAGATCATCTGGGGCTGTTGGTCTTTGAGCGTTTGCTTTTCAGCCAATTTCTGATGTACATTTTGTAATTCAAACAGAAATGGGAGTCCACAGAATGCACAATAAACAAACAAATCCAGAAGGCGGCAGAGTGTGACGCTGTGATTGGTCTAAATGTGGACGAATCACAAATCACAACAGAGTCACATGCATTTATTTGACATAGCCTGCGATTTTTTGTTTTAGTTACTATCTAACATCAGATACATCGTAGCATAAAAGTTCACAGTTTATTTATAATTAAAACAAATTTAAATGTTATACATTTAATAATAATAATAAAAAACGTGTATATTGGGGGAGGGCAGGAATGTCAAATGGGAGGGCCTGGCCCTCCCTGGCCCTCCCACGGCGCCGGGCATGCCTTGATTGATTGATTGAAAAGTTTATTAACAGCTTGTATATTGGGTACAGTACAGTACAGCTCAAAACATACAATTGTTAAGGGGATGCAGACCAGAGAAAGACTTTCGTCTTGTTTACATCAGGGTCCCCCATTTCCAATTCATCATGTCATTTAAGACAGATAAGACATATTTGACATACAGATGGCTTATTTCCAATTTACATACAGGTGTTTTTTTTTTACATACATACATGCCTGCCTGTCAGCCTTCCATCTGTGCACAAACTTATCTCGTGCCCTCATTGGTCATGTGCGCGTTCGTGTGTGTTGGAGGAGGGGCTCTGTAAGGAAGTGGCAGATTTCTCCGGTTGTGTATTTTCAAATTCTAGCGCACTCGAGCTGGTTTCTCCGAAATTACCTACCCCACCTTTAAGGTACTTTCCACTATTTTATCTTTCAATTTTTTCTTATAAAAGCGTACATTGTTCTACTTTTACACTTAACATGTAAATGTTGAATGAAGGACTACTTACATATTATTGTATTCAAGCATACAAATAACATTGTGATACTTTACCACCATCACTGCTTAGTATAGCTAATGAAGTCATTAACAGGCAGTGTGTGTTGTCCAACAGCAACCATGTGATTGATAAAGATGGTCAGTGTTATGCTGCCCCTGGCGGCAGCAGAGCAGTATAACACATCACAGAGGGATGCAAACATTCCTCCTCCCTTTACTCCTCCTCTCTCCGCACGGTGCCAAAACCTCCCCCCAAAGCCTCCGGCTGCACCACCACTTTCCTCAAGCTAGAGACTTTTTTTTGATCAGCACGAAAACAACATGGCAGACGTTTTCGTCAAACCACAAATCGGAGGAGGCGGCGGGATTGTGGTAAATTAAAACGAGAAAACACGAAAGCATGGCGTTCTACAGCGCAGGGAAAAGTTTCCATTCCAAATTTCCAAATTCAGGCAACTTTTCACACCTTGTATTGTGCCCGCATGTGTGTTGTTCGTGCAACTTTTGGTGATACATGTCGTTTGGTGTTTTGCAACTTTTAAACGATCAACAGATGATTTGAGTTGATGTTTTTGCTCGCAGATTGACGATGACTGGCCAGGCTACTGTTTAGATCTCTTCAGCTATCCGGCTCACTACTCCCGGAGATTTAGACTGTGTCGTCGTTCCACATGGTGTCATCGTGGACAGGTACAGCCCCAAAACCCCTCTTCTGCTGCCATTGTAACAAAAACCTTTGAGCCTCCCAAGTGTTTCTGCTGTGAGGTGGCTCAAACTATACTTGCTTTTGAAAAATTCTGAGAGATTCTGGGAAGATTCACTTCTTGTGGACCATGGTGCTGTTTTCAACTGTTGAAAACTATAAAATGATCACTGTCTGTCACACAAAACCAAAAAAAACTCACCAGCAGACCATTATAAAGCATCATGATAGATACACACACTTTTCTAAAGTTTATGATTTTGATGGAAGACATTAATGTGGACCTGAATCTTGATCTACATCACAATACAGTGATAAAGAAATATGACAAGTGTCAGAATACTTTTTAGTCAAAGGTAGTATAAGTCTTTGTGTTGATGAAGAAATTATGTTTGTGAATAGTGACAAATGCAGTGATTTTATTTGTTCTAAATCTGTGAAGAATTAGCTGCCAAAATATTATTCTGACTGGAACATCAGTAAATAGTGAAACATTACATTTATGATAACTTGCATTGTTGTGACATCTTCAAGTGTCTTTTTAATTGACCAACAGTCCAAAACTCGAATATGTGTAGTGTATCATCCTCATATGACAAAAGAAAAGCAGACATTCTTCAGAAATTGTGCCGCTGCATTAAAATAGTTCTGATAGTCCAGAAATGTTTACTTGTAGCCTAACCTTTCACCAAATTCCAATGAAATGTGCTACTGTTTTTGAGATAGCATGTTTACTTACAAACAGGAATCTAAACATTACTCTGCTATGTTGGACAGATTGTTGTGATAAAAAGACTTGCCTCCTTCTTCGTAAATGGATAGAAAAGTTATCCAGATAACAATGTTGACCAGGGACGTGCACAGACAATTTGAGGGGCGGGTGCTCAAGTGAGAAAAAGGGCACTTCCCATAATCATTTATAAAAAAATGTTTTAAAACAAAAAGTTAAATATAGTTGCACATCTCTGACTTACTGACCAATTTATTTTAATACACTCACGCAATTGTTTAATACTCAACAGAATTCTACAAAATAATCAGCTAACACAGAGACAATGGTCTTCTTTAGTATTCACTAAGCACAAGAGCAGACGACAAACTAGTCAAATTAATAGTTATTAAATGAGCAGCCAACAATCAAAATTATGAAGTTACTGTTTAAGGACATTACAGGCAAAAATATCGTTTTTTCATGTACTTGTTATTTTGGTCTATTTTGCTTCCATGTTTTCTTTCACTCTAATAGAAATAAAACTTCCAAGAAACACATATAAATGGTGTTCGCTTTACTACCATGTCTGAATTCATCTATAGATTTAAAGCTAATCTGCATTTAGACATAACATTTCAGGGGAAAATACTGACTTGACGTAAGTAACTATCTGGGGAAGTTGTGAGGTGATGTGTTTTTTAGTTTTATCCTTTTCACCTGCAATGCCTTAGTAACTGCATGCAAATTAGCGCATTTTAATTAGGCCTAGTTAACGCCTACTTTGCATATCAATATGGCGATTGTGATGACGTTATTAGATACACATTTGAATGCATTCACTTTAAGTGTCTCCCCTTAATGGTGGGGTAGGTAAGTTTGAGAAACCGGCTCGAGATACACTTTTTATTATATTTCATGGAATGCTCTTAACATCCCGATAGCAATGAATATCTTAAGTGCTTTGACAAAAAATCCATAAAAAAAATTCATTTGTGGAAGCCGTAGCGCTGTAAAAAGCACGACCAATCATTTTAGCCGGCCCGGCTAAAATAACTGGATGGCCTACCTGCCTGTCAGCCTTCCATCTGTGCACAAACTTATCTCGTGCCCTCATTGGTCATGTGCGCGTTCGTGTGTGTAGAGAGAGCATCGGAACTTCACAGTCTTATCTCCCGACCTGATCTTTTTATTTTGTATTCAATCAATATATTTTTTGAAAGGGAAACTGTGCGCAAACAGCAGTAGATATTCTAATGCTGTCAAAATTATCGCGTTAAAGGCGGTAATTAATGTTTTGAATTAATTGCGTGAAAATATTTAACGCATTTAACTCATGTGCAGAATGGCCCGCCCCATACATCCCACCAGTGGCAACGCTGGGGTAGGCTACACCCATACCAATAAATGGCTTAGCCCCACCTTGAAAAATGATGTTAAAGTAAGCAAAATAAAGTCCACCAACTCGCGGAGTAAATTGCACAGAGAGCCGTTAGTAAGATTGATTTCAGTAGCCACTTGTCTGGAAATACCGAAGACCAGAAACGGTTTTGAAAACTTTTGTCACGTAGTGATCGTCTTCTCAATAGAACATCTTTGATAACGGCGTGGTGTTGTTGCAGGAAGTCCCGACGGAGAATACTTTTGCTGTAGTACAGGGGTGCACATAACTGGTACGCAGGTTATGTGCGTAATCTGAAATGCGTACCGTCACTTGTGTCACAAAGCGCATTTGCGTACCGAGGTACTTGTGAAGCTTTTCCAGAAGGCGGTTAGATCACCCTACGACAGAGTCGGTCTCCGTGTGCACAGACAGGGCTGCTGTTAACATCGGCCTGTACAACGGAATTGTGCCAAAACTACGCCAACCGGCTGCGGAGGGAGACTTCCCCCCCCCCCCTTCACTGGAGAACTGCGCTAAAACAGCTGATCACAACGTTCACACTCTGTGGTCACGAAGTACTCCACTAGCCCCCCCCCCCCGTGTTGATAGAAATCAACACGTAATGAAATAAGACCCCACGGTTTGATGATTGATAGGTGTGTGGGCTGCTGTCTTTCATTTTGACACACAGAACAATGTTATAATAAACATACATACATACATAGGCTACTGTATGTTAAATGGATATATCCGCCTTCTTTCATTTATCTTTCCATTCCCACAACAATATACATAAAGAAATGGCATATTTTGGACATAGTTTGAATGGTGATTAATCATGATTAATTAATTTTTAAGCTGTGATTAATCTGATTAAAAATTGTAAACGTTTGACAGCCCTAAAATTCATTTATTTAAAAAAAAAAGGGGGTAAAAGGGCACTTTCTCTAGTGGAAGAAAAAGGGCAGGGGCTCAAGCCCACTTTGTGTGCACGTGCCTGATGTTGACGATTGAGACAAGTCTGGATTTCTGATATAATTATATCTAAACTGCTGTCAAAGCAACAAGTCCTTAAACCCAAACCTACCAAAGACACCTTATTGACAGCCTGCTGATAATGTCCCAGACAGATTAAATGGCTTGCTAGAGTGTCACGTTGTTTACAGGATAGAACGTCTGGCTCGAAACATCATGGATGACCTGGGGGACCATGACATCGTGGTGCTGTGTGTGCTGAAAGGAGGCTACCAGTTCTGTGTCGACCTGGTGGACAAGATCAAGGCCCTCAGCCGCAACTCCAACCGCACCCTCCCCATGAGGGTCCACTTCATCCGACTCAAGAGCTACCTGGTGAGCTCCTGCTCAAAGCGACACAAACAGCACTCTGACGCTAAGGGACGTGTGAAAACTGAATATGTCCCATGACATAGTCAGAAGATGTGTGTTATATTTAATACATTATGACACTGGTACCTTTGTGTAACTTTGCTATAAATGTGCCTCATGTAGCTACAGCATCACAAGCAAAGCAGAAAAATACCATATATTTTGAAATTATATAGGTGATATGCATTTGCCCGTGAGATAACATACAAGTACACCTTACATTGGTCAAATAATTCAAGCTAAGATTGCATATTCTTCTTTTGGTGTCTCTGTGCACCACTTATACCAAAGCAAATTCCTCATATGTGTAAACCTACTTGGTAATGAAACTGATTCTGATTTGTGTCCATGAATCTTAAGAAAAACGGATGAATAATATAGGCTCGTAAAAAAATCTGTTGTAGCTGACAATGATTATTTGTTTTTAAATAGGATATCCAATGTTCATTTAACTAACTTGTTGATTTTCTATATTTTGAATCCCTCAGAATGATCAGTCAACAGAGGATCTTCACATAGTCGGAGCAGAGGATTTGTCTTTTTTAGCTGGAAAGGTAATACTTTTCTCATCTACACCATTAAAAAAAACAGCCCAACTTAGATAAAGAACCACATTTGAGTCCAGTGAAACATAATGATAAGCTCTATTACAATAACAACTCTTTACAAGTGGCATCAATGAGTATTGAGAGAAGTCAGCCTGAAGAGGGCAGCCTTCCCTCATCTGCTATCTCCCACTCCATCCTGAGGAAATGGTTCAGTGCTTCCGTGACGGAGATCAAAGATGGCAGTTTCTGACAAACCCAGCAGCCATCAGATACCAATTGTTCTAATGTAATTGTTTAAAGGCCTCCTTCACTTGATCTCAGTGGAAGCAAAGGGTAGCATCTGTGTAAATGGGGGGATACGCTTGCTATCATTGTTGCTACAGGCTCACTCTTTATTTGCTTGTCTTGTTATCATGAAATCAAACGTAGTACATCACTGGGCTCGAGTAGGTGTGTGTGTGTGACTGTGTAGTGTCACCTGGGGCCTCATTTATAACGTTGTGCGTAGGATTCACGTGGGAAGGTTGCTTACGTAGTAGAAATCCAAAAAATAGGTACAGACATTTTCCGATTCACCGAACATTGCGTACCGGCGAGGAAAGTGCGTACAGCACTTCCTACGCCGGTTTCCCTTTATAAATCACAACCGACTCGAAATGCGGTGCAGCTTTTGCGGGCTTCACGTAACGCCCATATTTGCCTATAAATAGTCAAAGAAACGCCCATTCATTAATTCATTCTGACTGACTTTATGAAGAAGATCGCAGGAAATGACGACAGAACAGCTAAAAAAGACATCTCACACCGTGTCAGATTTTGGTTATTTTGGGGAGGTCGAGATAAATCATATTGTTTGGTGGATGTAGTTTGAACCAGAGTAGCAGCATGGAGGTCGGATCGTCACCAAAATAAATAAATAAGTGGTCCGAAAAAGGTTCATGACAAAAATAATACACATAGCCTTCCTCAGGCAGTGTGTTTGTACCGGGGACAGGAGACACCCCCTTGATGAGAAACTGTAAGAAATGATCGGGGAATCCCTCCGGAGTGGAGTCATGACGACTGGATCTGAATTATGTTTTTGTATTTGGTGGTTTGTGTCCCAGCTGTCGATCAGCTGTGCGCAGCGTCTCCACTGCAGCAACTCTATATCCACCAGTTAAAGGAAATACAACTAATGTGTTGTGTTATATTAGCTGTACAATTGACCACATATGGTGTTCTTAGCTTCCATACCTCCTGTGTTTTATGAGCGACTTATCAAGTCTTAGCAAACGGCATAAAACATGATTAAACATGGTAGTAGCCTATATAAAACCATGCTCCTACAACCTATAGAAATGCAAAACCGCATCATTTATGAGAAAACATTTCATAACATTAACACAACATATTCAAGGTGGTTTTAAATAACATATTAGATATTATATCCGTATTTATTTATTTCTCCAAGTTATGTTTTTGTGTGCACTGAGGAGTCTCAAACAGGCGTTTGTTAAATCATTTTAAGATTGGCTTTAATCAATGTTTGAAAATGAATTCTTCATATATGATAAATGAGTGGTAACATTTTATTTATGGTATTATTTCCACATATTTCTCTCCATTCTTCCTTCTGCCAACGGTGTCGCAGTTTGCTTAGGATGGGTTAGAGTTTGCGTGGAGGACCGCATGTTTTCCCGTCAAGTTAGTATTTTATAAATCGCAAACATTGCGTAGAAACTGGCGTACGCCATTTTTTGAGCGTATATCCCTTTATAAATGAGGCCCCTGATCTGTATATGTGTATATCTGTGTATACTTTTAACTTTAAGTGAAATGTACAGGCTAATTTCAAAACTATGGTCACAGTCATTTCTGGGGATGGAAATAAGAGAAGCCAATATTCCGACAGACACCTTATTTCCTTTCTTTGGCTATTTTCAAGTGAATTATAGTTTCTCCTCTGTAACTCATGCACACTACGTCAAGAAATACGCACTTGGATATGGGTGGTATGAAGAACATAACAATTGAAACTACGACTGGAAATTGCTAGTTTTGTCTCACAAACATATATTTTAGTTTCACATAAAATGGAAAAAAGCAGCAAGTCCTGCCATTTAAGAAGCTGGATTCACAGTCTAGCCTTTTGTTCTGAAAAATAACCTAAACAATCGATCAAGTTTCAAAATAGTTCATTGTTGTTTTTTAAAGATATTTTTCTCCCCACTTGTGGTGTGTGTGATGGATTACTTAACTACTACTACAGGAGTCAAAAGTATTTTTAGGTAATATAAAGCAGCTGATCTAAACACACACCTCCCTTAGCTAAGCGCACACCCACTAAAATGCCCTATGGCCAGGCGTGGCAACAAGAAAAGGATATGAGGTAGTGAGCTTGAGTCACTGCCGGCTGCTTCGCTCTCAGTATTTAAAGTGTGCTTGTGAAATCCCTGAGCACCCTGTGATGTACGGCTAAATTTAGTCACCTTTTTGTAACAGAGTGCTGCGATGGTTTGCTGGAAGAGATAAACCAATTGTGTGACAAGGAACATTACATAGTTCATTTTATGCCTTATCCTCCCAGTGCATATGACAGACAGTGGCTCACCCTTTTAATAAATCACTTATTCCTTTATATTTCTCCAGGGTTTACTGCATTCCAAAATAAATCTGTATGAATAATGAGTCCTAAAAAAGCACGACTGCATGCTTGGCTGAATCCTTTGTTTGTAAAGTAGAGTATACTGCAGACAATGACACGGCAGTTGAAGTTGTTTTTTATAATTGTGACCTATCTGAGTTAACTGAAGCTTTAGTTTTTGTTAGTATAAATAGTGCCCAGTTGTCTTCAGCCAATTAGTCAAACATTTGCAGAATCTCAGCTATTTCAGTATGGCATTTAAACGACTGTAGGGACATGGGCTTCCAATGTAGATGACATTTTCCATAGATGATTTTATCCCTTACTGATTTAGGGTCTGCATTAACAAATACGGATGGTTATTGCCCACGTTTCAACACTTATGCTGTTACTTATTCCCAGAAAAATAAGCTTAAAGATGTTAATTTCCTTTTACAAAATTACAATTTAAATTTGTGTTGCTTTTCAAACAAAGCAGTACAGTATTGAAAACTACTTGCCTCTTTTTTTCAGCTGTAATTGTTTATTTTTTGCTTTTTAGATGACCATTGTTTGTGTGGTTAACATGAAGATAATCCGTTTTATTTCTGTTCCAAACCAAGAATAATAGTTTGTTCTGCTCTCTCTTCTCTTCCCAAAATGCTCTCATAAGAACGTACTGATTGTGGAGGTAAGTCAACCGTGTTTCTGCTCCTCTGTTTTTCTTCTCCACCAAATAAGCCTGTTGTTTTTCATAGCCTGGATGGTTATCCAGGTCAAGGCACTTAAAAGTCTCATATTCTCTTTACAGGACCTGAGTTCAACTTCAGGAAACTTTTTAAGTTGGCTGACCTGTATTTGGGAAATATGATCATAAACCTACTCTTGTTAGCCTTGAAGGAGAAATAATGACATTTACAGGAAGGCCATCGTTGTGGTCACTGAGTCATGGTTACTCTCTTTATGTAGGCATTGCAGGATTTTGAAACAACGGTCATTAGTCAGTGCTTAAGCATTTGTGAATATGCCCCTGCAGTTATTGTCTTATACTTTATTTTATTTTTTAAAGTTGCTATTGTTTTGATTACCTTTTTTAATAGTTCTACTATAAATGATGAACACATCTACATGAGTAACAGGATAATCTAGTGCTCTTTCCACCTGTTTTTACACTCATATCCTGTCACAAGAGAAAATAAATGTTTAGCATAAGTGTGTTGGGACAATCCGATATGAAGGGCTTGTTGACCTACATTTACATGACAACAGAGGCGTTTGTGTGTCAAATATCACATGTTGGTTTTAAATTCCTCTTTTTCAAGTGTAAGTAAAGTTATTTTAGAGAATGCTCATAAACCGTTATGTAATACAAGTGCAGTCCGACCAACTTTTTCCTTTTCACTTGTACTGCAGTGTAAAAATAAGTCTGTTTTTTCATCTGCATTTACTTCTTGGCAAGCTCTTGCTTTCTCAATCCAGTTTTCTTTAAACTTTTCCTTTACAGGCCATTGTGGGCACCGGAAAGACAATGAATGCTCTCCTGAAGCATGTTGAATCCTTCAGTCCCAAATTGATCAAAGTAGCAGGGTAAGTTATACTCTAAAGACCTCAAAACCAAACTAGCACAGTTTTCCTCTTTGTGAATCACTCAACATCCGCCTTCCAGTCTAGACAGAAAGAGGGAGACAAAGAAAGAATAAGTGATGCTGGTTACTACTCTTACATTTAAACCTAACAGGTAGAAAGAGATATCTCATGATAATGTCTGCTTTTTTCCCTCCCAGATTGCTGGTTAAGAGAGTGCCACATAACTCAACATGTCTTCCTGACTGTACGTATCTGACCAGCCCTTTTATGTGTTCATGAGTCATGGGTTTATTCTCACTTAAAACAGTCGTTGCAGATTGTTAGTCAGTGAGTCTTTGGACCATGGAAATATTTTCTATCAATATTCCACTTTGTCTTTTGATTTCAGATGTCGGCTTTGAGATACCTGATCGGTTTGTGGTTGGATATGCCTTAGACTACAATGAGTATTTTAGAGACCTAAATGTGAGTTGGTGCTGTTTTTTAAATTATAGACAACAATGACTCTTTAGTGAAAGAAGTCATTATGACTGTCTAGTAACATTAACCATTGGGGGAGTGGCTGGATTAACGTTACAAGTGAGAATATTATTTTACAAAACCACTTTTAGAAAAAAGAAATCCAAAAAAAGGAACCTGATTATTGCTTACATGAACAGTAAACCTAAATAAGTCCAAATGTTGTGAAATAACAGATTTTTGGAAAAATCACACATAACACTGGTTGCAAGTTTCCCAATCCTACCAATTGTATTGATTTAACAGGCAGCATTTTTAAGAACTTGTTGTTTATAAAGTTATTGAGAATCTAGAAATACTAAGATTGTATTTCAGTAAAACTGTTTATATTTGTCTAATAGCAACATAAGCATGAATGTCACCTTTTGTCATAGTTTTACCTTTATGTGTTAGATTATTGCAATCCAATGAGAAAACTCCGTAATCTTGTACACCCTGACCTCAGCTTTCTTATCATAATTTGCCAAAGCACCTTTTATTAGTGCAGAATAGATCCCAAAATAGTTTTAATCGAGAATCAATTTGAAGTCAAATTTTATCAGAGTAATCTTAATCTCATCATGAAGAAGGGAACAATTCACACCCCTTCTTACATCATTAAATACAAATAAGTTTGTACTGAGTTCTATTTCTCCTTTTTTTTCAGCATATCTGTGTGATCAGTGAAAGTGGGAAAACAAAATACAAGATTTAAAAAAGGACTGCAAAAGGAGGCCACTGTCAGATGTCATCTAACAGCAAGCCTGAACATTTTCCCTGGGATGCCATTCACTTACAGCTGCTATCGTGACATTTGATCTCAAGCATCCCCTGATTTGTTTAAACATTCCTTCTATGAAATGTGTTATAACAATAGACACTGACGTTTATCTGGTAATTTTATCAAAGCAAGTACATGGTGTACTTTGCTTTTAAAGTAGCCATTTCATTCTTAATGTTTACAGAAGTTATCTGTATTGATAATTGAAATACAAGGAAACTGTGTGCCATAGTTTGTTTGACTTTAACACAAATTTAATCTCAACTTTGCTTCTTGTATGCATTGTAAAGGCTTGATAATCATGACCTGTATGAATGTGATACATTTTCTAAAGTCAGTGTGTGATTAGGTAACAAAGGAAAGCTTCTTTTAAAATGACAGAAACAGAGTTTTAATAAGAAATTAGGGATAGATTTTAATGTGTACATTGCCTGTCTGGTATTTCATTAGGTACTGTTGTTCTCACCTTTAATGCTGGGCAAACACTGAGTATACTTACTACTTTAAAACTGAGATGTAGTGTAATAGGTATCTAATTTCTGTATTTCCTTTTATAATATAACATGCAAGTAAAGTATTTCAAACATTTTCTGTGTCATTTATCAGTTTAATATTATCCCATTATCGGACTTAAAATAATGCACTACATACAGTATATTAATACAATTTAAGTGAGGTCTTGGCTGGCTACCTCATAAGTTTTTTTTTAAGGCTAGTAATATACCAAAACATATTAAATTGTGTGATTTAAATATGTATTTTTGTGCTACATCATATTACTGAGCTGCTGGGATGTTTTACATTCTAGTGAAGACCAGGGAAACTAGCTCATTGAGGAGTGCTCTTAAACTCCTTAACCTTTTGATAACTGGTGTATTATTGAATATTTTTCATTTTAAGACTTGACAACAGTTGCATCCTGAAGATTGAGGTTAGAAATTCTTTAATTAAAAAAATAGATAGGTTAACTGCCAATGATCTAGTACAGGGAACAATAGAGAGTGGTTGTGTTGAGCTGCAGTGCTCTTTGTACACACCTGACATATGACTCCCCAGACTTTAAGCAGGGAACACAATGTGCCTAAAAAAACAAAACAGTACTTTTCATGGACTCAGGCTGGGGATTGTAGTGAATTGACTCTGACCTGAATTATGCCCTAACAACTAAGGAAAATATAAAGCACCCTAATAGTATTACATTATTAACAGCCTACGTTTTACTTGTAGTCTTCACAGGAAAAAGTCTTCAGATTCATTACTTGAGTAAAAATAGCAATAACAGACATTAAATACTCTTTTATAAGTAAAGGTCCTTGGTTAAAAACCTGTCACAGGGAGACACTGGTGAAGAGGGCAACATAGCTTCTAAACAACCCCATGTTACTTCCCTAGTTATTATACTTTACAATTCCTTTTGTAAGAATTGTTATGATCAAATATGCAAAAGAAGAATTATCTAATGCTAACTTTTGGTGAATCAAGGAGAATTCTGCAGACAAAAATGGATTAAGTGTAGTCAAATACACACCTTAAAGGTCCCCTATTATACTGTTTTTCATCAATATATTATAGGTCTCAGTTATACAAAACATGTCTCTGAAGTGTTTGGCTTGAAATATCAAACAGATCGTACATTGTAGCATCCCATAAACCCCCCTGTTTCAAAAGTGCTGATTCTCTGTCTTTTACTTTAGATGAAAATAAGATGCCACTCCCAACGCCCCTCTGAGAGATATTTGGTTCTAGGAGGAGATTCAGGTGATGAGGTGCAGGCGGATGTTACTGGCTAAAGGTTACACAAGCCAAAAAATCGTTATGAGATCATAAAGAGCACTTATATACTAATAAAGGACTGGCTTATCTAAAGCCAGTTGAGTAGCACTTGAAATGTTTTGGCTCTATGAAACCTGATGTACTTATATGATTCTGTTTTCTTCAAGGTTGTGTCTTCCTGGTCGAATACTTATTGTAAGTCGCTTTGGATAAAAGCGTCAGCTAAATGAAATGTAATGTAATAAAGTGGCCAAAATCTGATCAGCTCTTTTTCAGACAGGTTTTTATATAAATGGATCAGGACAAAAAGTGAGCAAATATTTTTTCCTGAAACTTTCAGAATCTCTTTACACAGAGGTGACACGTGTTTCTGTATAAAATACATGAACAAGTGGAATTTGCATAATAGGTGACCTTTAATGTATACTTCGGATGGTTTCATTCCACCAGACTGCAAAAACGTATTATGGAAGCAAAATAGCAACAACTCTCAAAACGGACCAATGCATGAAAAACAATGTGTTGGATTGCAGGGTCTCACTGTTTTGTGTTTGAAATCCTGCACACACAAAAAAAAGGCTATAGCTGTCAAATAAATGTAGTGGAATAACAAAACAAGTTCCTTTTGATATGTAGTGAAGTAAAAATAGATCTTATGGAAAAACTATTTATGGATGACTTTATTGTCATCCATGATGTAGTACATCGTTGAGTACAATTGTGTTTCTCTGGCCAAAAGAATGCACAATTTACAAACATATAGTACAATAACAACTATGTAGGACAACAATGGAGAAATATGAATTCAAGTAGGCTGAACAAATATAAAGTGCAATAAACAAAACCTGTTTATGTTTCATGAGGATATATTTTGTAGCACTTTTTGGGGAAGCAGTTCAAAGATGTTTTGTCTATCAGGTACAAATGGAGTTGGACCTCAATTTAGAAGTTGTTTTCCTACTGCTGAAAGTTGAACTAGCTGGACAGGACAGCTTTGTGAAAGTCTCCTCCCAAAACTGACCTCTGCAACAAAAGCTCCCAATCCCAAGAACAGGTGGTCCCTTATGGTGGAGGGGAATAAAAGGGACATTTGTCAGACCTCTGACAATCTGAGCATGTATTCTACAATATGTTCAAGGTTGTTTGTAAAGCACTGTCGCTGTGGGGCAATTGATTTGAATTATCTGCTTTGGGGAGTATGGCAGCAAGATGAGAGCAGAGATTATATGTTGTGTGAGCTCACATTCCTCATCCACTACCATCCACATGCCAGCCCTTCTCGACCTCACTTTGAACCAGGACATGTGACTGCTCGTTCTGCCTTATTGTTTATATGATACGAAAGCGGGTTGAATTGTTGAAAGGCTAGAACATAACATAAGTGTGTCTTTGTTACTTCCACTTCGTCGTCCGGCAGACAGGGAACGTTTTCTCCCCACATTAAACTCCAGTTGAAACGGCAAAAAAACACCACTTTTTACCAACGCAGCTTACTTTTTGCAAACTCGCACCTGATTGGCTCGGTCAAATACAACCCGGCTTGTGATTGGCTGAGAGCATCCTGTTGACCGAAGGTGGACTCCCAGAGAGTAGGGATCGGGAACGCTGGGAAGCAAAAAAATCTCCTGCTCCAAAACGGCACCATGCGCCTCCCCTGTGTGGGTTTGGAATAATCACCGGGAAGCAGTTTGTACTCAAACTATATTAAATTATGACAACGCCTGACCATCTAGCAACTCCCACGCTAGGATTTGACTTTTTCTTGTCGCCTTTATGGATACTGGCTGCGGCTGTTACCGGCCTGTAATGACGCTTTGCAACTACACAGGTAACTTTGTTTAAACTCCAGCCGTTAGCATGGATGCTAACCGCTAACAGCCTGTAGCCTCAGTTAGTTTGGTTGTTGTTTTTACTCACTTTACAAGTTATCTTTCACAACGTGTATAACGCATAAAGTGGGTACGTCGGCTCGTATCGCCTTTTGAACTTTCTTTGTGTCGGTATTATATTACATGTAACAAAGAAAAAAACTACTTTTGTCTGTCGCTGGAGAACAACAGCTCGACACGCTCTGCTCGTGCCTCAGTTGACCATCAAACAAGAGACTTTCAAATTCACCCCCTGTAACCACACTACCGATGGTTTTATAATTTAAATACAAACCATATGATGACCAAGTGTCACTTATGCTTTATTATCCTGGTCTTATATGCTTGTTGTAACTTCATTTCAACGGACTCTCTTTCGCCCTGCCTCCCGTCTGTAACTCGTCCACTTGTTGCTGGCCATTCATTATGCAGTGTTGACTATCCACGTTGTTGTGCTTCAAGCTGAAGGCAGCAACCTCAAATTATTCTCGGGTGAATAATGCGGTGATATCGTGGTTTGTCACCTCTCTGTTTTTCACTACGTCCACAACTTTAAGGTGATACTCAGTTAAGTTAGATTAGCATGTTGCATAATGCTGATTGTCCATCATTAAGCACGGATGGTCTACTATTATGTTGTTGAACAACTAGGGTATTGATTCATGTTGTTTAACACAGTGATAGACGCCATACACAATTAGCTAATTTAAAAATAGGCCTAACTCTAAAACAAAGTGCAGTAATAACATATGTCTGTGATTTCTTTCTCTTCAACAGATGGACTAATAAATCAAGCAAGAATGGAGCTGTAAATTGGACAAACTGGAACTATATACTTGCATCCTGCTGGAGCTATTTTTTTGATATGGGCGTTCATGGATAAAAGGATTTTATTTGAAGTTGAATGATGGCATCACATTGGGTTCATTCTGAAGATGATGGGAGACAACCAGCAAGATCTTCTTTCTGTGAGGTAAACAACAACAAGAACACAACTCAAAGCTCACACGCTGAATGTTATTTGTATAATAATGAATGACATTTTTCAAATGGGGATAATGAAAGACATTTTTCAGGGGCTACCGACTCTCTAGTTTCTCTCTCTCTCACTATGGTGTTTGTGGGGGAGTAGTGTGTGTTTGACACTTTGGCCCAGCTGTTTGTTCTTGTAACAACTCCTGCTGGATTGTTTAGCTCTTCATCTCACCAGTGCTTCACTGTTTGGGTTGTTTTTTTATAATAACTGCTGCCAAATTGTAGGTTTTTCTTGTAATCGGCTGGGGTTGGTCATTGTATATTTCCAGATCAAAACCCAGATTTCCCATTGCAGGACAATATATTAGATTATTTTTGTTTTAATCAAACTCATCACTGGAGGAGACAATGGCAGTTTATTAAAGACCAGTCTTTCAGATTTTTAAGCTGTGACCTCTGTAACGCCAGACAGGACACCATCTGCTCCTCTGAGAGCTTGCTGTCTGAATGAAGACCGTTATGTTAAACTAGTAGGTAGAACCATGTACTCTTTGAAATAGAACCTGTAGTTTTCTTTCATTCACTAGATTGCTTTTAATCTAATATTCAGCTCGTCACTAAAGCCCCTCTGCTTCTATGTGAATAATCTGTAAATGAGGGATCCTCATGTTGTTACTTCAAACAGACGGACTGAATTGGATTGTAGATCATTGAATAGAGTACATGAGAGCTATAAGGATAATGTTGTGCTCAACAAGATATTAATTCAATTTGAATGCATCTGATAAGGCGTCCAGAGATTCTTTGAAGTCTAAAAACTTAAATAAACTCTTTTCCTAGTGGAAACACAAGCACAGTGATGTTTTTAACACAAAGCTCATTACTGCAGAGAAAACTACTTTTGCAATTTGGTCTTTTCACGGTCAGACTAAACAATGAGTTGAATGAATGATTCGTAGAACACAATTCAGA